GGCCATTCCCTGAAAGGCTCAGATTTCTGTGAGAAATGTGAGACATAGAGAGGAATAAAGCGACTGGCAGACAAAACACCTTGTGTAAAAATTGTGAAATGGAGAATAATGGAAAGCATGTGAGAGAAAACGAGAGAACAAGGGACAAAGAGGGTGCGAGAGAGATGTGAGTCTCAAAAAAGTGTCAATGCCAGGCTTCCTTTAGGCATGAGTGAGAAACTATGAGGCCTGGTGGTGTGTGAATGGTTCGGGAACACGCATACAAACACATACCACAGGCACAAACACACACTTTGACGCACACACACACATACACATGCGCACATGCATGCACACGCACACACACATATGCACGCACACACACACACACACGCACACACCCTCCCTACTGAGCCAGAGCCTGTGCCAGCGAGACAGGTCTATGGGTCTATTGAGGGGACTTGGAGGGAGCTGTCCCTTTCTGTGGAGCTAATGAAGCCTGCACCCACAAGCATAAAGGAGTGGAGAGAGTTAGCACTGCGCTCCTTCACCCATTCACTCACTTCCTTCCTTTACACAGCTCCTGATGAGGTAATGCTTTCTCTCTTAAAGGGATACCATAAGTAATGCACCTTTACGCATGCAGCTCTTTACAATACGACACGCCAGAAATAAATCTGGATACAGTTTTTATGGATACAAACTGGATAGTTTTATGATAGAAGGCCCAAGAACACTGAAGATGCAAATCTTTAAAAATGATTCACAAATATATATATATGTTATTTTATTCTAGAAAGTCTCCGTAATTTCCTAAAATACCTGGGCATCATAGTTTTTATCAAACAGTAGCAAACACAGCATTTTGTTGGGGACTATTTTCAGCTGTGGATTGATACACATTTGTCTTTACAGCAGCAGCTAAAAAAATAAAACATAGTGTCCATGTTCATTGTAGTGAAAGAACATGTCACCCAGTGCAACAGTGTGGCTCATTGATGTGTTTTTAAATAGTTTTTGGACGGAATGGCTGCTTTGATTAATTATTAAGAAAATGTAGCAATGCAATCTCAAAACTGAAAGATAAAAATAGAAAATGGTTTTAAGATCTCCTATGTTTTATAGATTTCATTTGTTCATGTTATACTGTTCATCCGAAAATTTGGCAATAGAAGATCAGATGAATAAATTTTTTTTCAAAGGTTACAGCCAATCGGAGTCTGACAGCAGACTGTTCGATGGCGAAATTTTAAAAAGTTGAAAGAACTGTAAACTAATAAGACTGATGGTCTTGATAATCTTCCATCTGAAGGATATAAGACTTTTAAATCAAATTTTCCCCAAAGATTCCTTCATCATATAGACTTTTGTCAATGTAAATGATCAATTCAATGTTGGTTTTTGGTCTTTTCATAGGATTTGTTGACAATAAGTAAAAGATAGAATATCACCCGATTTATCCCCTAAGATGACAGAGATCTCAAAGTATTGACTAAACCGTTAATAAGGTTTTCCAGTTTGATTTGACAGAAATCACAGTGGCTAAAACTCCAGCATGGAAATGTGGAGTCCTTGTACAAAGCTGCCATCAATCTAAAAAGAAACAAAGACAGGCACCACACTGGAGAGCCTGAGACCAATGTGTCACTCAGAGAAGAAATGTCACAGAAAGCAGAGATGTGGGGAGAAAAGGCTTCCAGACAACACAATCACACTTTCAGCAGGGGAGGTCTGACTTTAAGCTGCCTGTCTGTCTGTCTGCCTGTCTTCTACTCTGCTGCTGCTACAAGATGATGAAGGAGCTCTTGTCCAAGTCTACACCCAGTCTAGTCCTCTCTGAGCAACCAGACTGAGCTAACAATAGACAGCAGTGCTTATCAAACAGCCTGGCAACTTCATTAGCATCCAGCAAGACCCAGACGACAACCAAAGTGGCCCTACACACACACACCCACACTCATGAGCCAGACAACCCCTCCGCTGGCCTTGACCCATGAACTCTAGGGTCCTCTTTCACCTGCTACAACTGCATTCATGCTAGCAAGGCTGTCTCGCCAGTGGCCGACTGTTCTGCATATATTCTCCTAACATTCCCACGCTCCGAGCGCAGACCTCCAGCACGGGAGATGATCACACTTTCAGCGCAGCAGTATTCATACGAGACATTATGGAGATTTGCATTGTGTCTGGCTGCCTGAGACTTTTTTTTGGGCCTCATGTCGACCACCACCGTCTTCATGACTTTATCCCTTTTGAGTGGAAGGGAGGCTTTTCTTTTCCGTCTTCCTCCTCAAATGAAATCTGTAAATATCCTATGACCCCATGTCTGACTGGCACACAAAGAAAATAGAGCACAGTCATATTTGTTTTTAATACACTGCTTTATTTCCTATTTGTTTGCGTTCCTGTTGTTGTATGTCTGGAAAACCATGTCTTTGTCATCATGAAATAATGCCCTAATGTCATTCCTCCCCTTCCCGCTATCCGTTCCTTTCCTCTTCCCGCTGAAGCTGTGTTGTTGACTCTCTTTCCCCCGGCACATCAAGGGTAAACTCGTGACTCCGCTCGCCTTCCCTTCCTCTTCCTGATTCTTTACGATTTGTCACTGGCCAAAAGCAGCTCAACATCTCCTGATTGGCTGGCGTGAGGAACAGAAACAGTGATGCTACTAACATGAGGCTTCAGTATAGTAGGGGTGTTTATGTGTTATTGCGAGAAATGGGGTAGAGCCCGTTCCTGCTCTCCGACAGATAATGTGACTGTCAGATGTGGAAGGGTGCAGCACTCGGCGGCTTTTCGTTCAGATCATGTGAGGGCGACCTGGAGAGGCGTGCAAAAGGCTGTGACTGAATTTGCCTCGCTGCACAGCATATGGACGCCCTCATCGCTTTATGCAAATGGCCGAGACACAGACACATGTTCACAAATGCAGACAAACTAACCCCCCCTCCCCTCCAGCCCCTCATTAATGGTTCTTCCTAAAACCAGACACCCCCCCCCTTCTCAAATAATAACCTCTCCACTAACACCCCCTCACTCCATCTTCCCCTCCTGAACGACCCCCCACCCCACAGTCTAGACCCTGCAACCCTCTCTCTCGCTCTCGCTCTCTCGAACCAGACGCCCCAAAATCCTAACCCTCCCTCCCTCCCTCCTCCTCACCCCTCCTCCTCCTCCTCCTCCTCCTCTCTCCTCTCCTCAGCTCCCACGACCAGCAGACAGACCCTATGATTCGCGTGACCGCCATTTTGCTGCCCACAGTATACCTAACTGTACAGCACAGCAGCTGCCTTGATGGGCGAATGCAAATACGAACGCTGCATTGTTACTCAGCTGCTCAGACGACTCTCATCGCATGAATTAACGCCACCCCTCAAAAAAACAAGACCTGCTCAATCAAACGTGACCACAAAACGACGCACTGCCGAAATGCAGAAATGTGAGATATTCATTTATACGCCGCCTCAATCCTTCTGACTACATAAACAGCTCCGAACGCCATTATTATACCAAGTTATGAGATCAGACGTCTTGAATATTTTTTTTCATTTTATGCCATTCCAAAGTCGCAAATAGATGAGAGGCGTTTCAGTTTAACTGGTGTGTTCTTGGGAAGCAGCATTATGTGATACTTCAAAGCTACAATCCAGTGTTCTTCAGGCTGCAATTTTTGTGATACCGCCTATTTCTATGTTTCATGTGCAGCCTTTTTCTGGCAAAATCAGTCCCCCCCCACAATTTGTTCAGTGCCATGGTAACCAGACACCCATGTGCATGAAAATGAGACTATTATGGTCTGTCTGTCTGGAGTTTGTTGGGCCTATGGACCCCTTCTTAATTAGAGTCTGTGTGCGTGTCTGAGCTCTTCTGTTTGCTTAATGCTTTCATCGGTGCATTATGTATGTCTGTGTGTAAAAAACTGTGAGTGTGCATGCGTGACAGAGCGCTATCTGATTAAAGAAAGCCTCGGCTTAGTCTTTTGTACAGTGTCACATTTGCATGCGAGGGAATCACATGCGAACATGCACACCATATGGCACAGTGGGTCCAGACTCTTGATCTCACATGCACCGAACACCTATCAAACACATTTCTGGGTGCGAATACTCGCACCTCAAGAGCAAAACAAACGGCACCGAATACGCCTTTAAAACATTACTTCACTCCAGCTTGCTCGCCGCTACGCCGCATTCATGGGAGCAATTATCAGCACACGCCAACGACATGATGGTTGTAGGTTATGCAAATGCAATTAGCCTCGATTTGCATTCGATAACAGCTAACGGATGCACAGATGGCAGACGACAGAGATGCGCCCGCCATCTTTGGCAGAGGGAAAGACTGGCGGCCATTTTGTCTGAAGCTGTGCCCATCTGGATAGAAACAACCACACTGCATTACTGTGACGACGGCAGCACTTTGGGAGCTGTGGGTGCACACTGATGCTGCTCGCTGGCAAACACTCTCAAGGCCAAGCATATACAGTCCATTCACACACACACACACACACACACACACACACACACACACACACACACACACACACACACACACACACACAGAGCTCTCTGTAGTAGATAATGTAAAGGGTGGTTGTCTCATATGATTCAAAACATTCAGATTTGAGTCAATTGACTTAAACACTTCAATGAATCTTTTAAGTTCCAAACATTTCTTAAAGTCAAAAATAAAAACATCTTTTACAGCAGTATTCATCACTCTAAAATCATCCCCTCGGACCAAACACACACACACACACACACACACACACACACACACACACACACACACTATTTTAGACAATGTATGAGGTAATGAGAGCACAGTGAGAGTTGTTCATAGAGGTGGAAAAAGTGGAGTGCTAAAGAGAGATACTTGCCATTTTACCATTTCCACTAAAAGGTGGGAAGGTCTCTGTGCTCTGTGATCTTCAGCCCTCTGCGCTGTTCAGTCAGCTTTTTTTTTTTTTTTTTTTTTTTTTTTTTTTAAATCAGTCTGAAATTGAATAATAGACGTCATGGAAAAAAAAAAAGATGTTCATACTTCATGTGCCTGTGTTCCTGGTTTGAACAGACGCACGTCTACGGCTCACCATAGTAACAGCAAACCAAGAGAGGTGGAGAAAATAAAGATAGCACTGTCTCTTTGTCAAATGTAAAAACTGGTTGGGGAATAAACAACGGGTGAGTCGAGGATGGAGAGTGAGTCAAAAGCAGAACTCCCAAACTGGTTTTTAAACAGCCAGAGGCAGAAGGTGGGGGATATGTCAATCTTATGAGGAAAAAAATCAAGAGAAAGGAATATCCCTCTTGGCGGTCTTTCAGCATTCTGGGTATTGGGTATTATTTGGGGAGAGATCCCCTTCAGCAGAACCACACACAGCCAGTGGAGATCGGGACTTGAGGTCCAGTCTTAGGAGCCAGGGCTGCAACTGAAGGCCACGCAGGGCCTGTCCTTTGGAGGTCTGCGGGCCCCTAGGCCACAGACTAACACAGGAAACCCCACTCAGAGCTGGGCAGGCTCTGTGTTTCATATTGATTTTTCCTGCATGACGGTAGCTCCAGAGGTGCTTCTAGCCTTCAGGGACCTTCTCCATCCTTCCCAGCCCACTCACTAGCCCCCCACCTGGGCTTCACTGGCTCTGCTGGACCCTTGGATGGAGGTACGGGCCACAGGAGGAGAGGAGGAAGACGAGAGCCCATGGCAATGATGATGAGCTGCGCCGGGTCTCTGAGTTCAGTCATCTACCAGCCTTTATCCAGCCTTCCAACCACCCACCCTTGTTTCTATCTGAAAAAAGAAAAATAGAAAGTGTTTTTCAAAATCTCACCTTTGGCATTCAGCATCCCTCTGCTCAATGCAAATGCAAATGTAAACACTCACACTTTGATTAAAAATATGTGGGAAGAAAACGCCAACTTGCTCTTTTGTAACCTGCCCCAAGGCACTCGCTGCTATACAGGCACAAATAAAAATGCTCAGTATACTGTATGAAACACAGACACATCTATCTCTGTTCATATTTTAAAATGTCTTCCAGAAATATAAATCATTCACATCCAAGTCATTACACGTAGCCTATATTATCAGAATATTTATGTTACATCATTATGTTATGTAATTTTTGACCAAGCCTAATGACTGGCATAAATAAAACAATGAGCATTATAATCCTTTTGATACTACACAAATCATTTGTCTGCAGGAATTCCTTCACTTCAGCGCATCTTGAAATATTCTGAAAAACATTCTGAATCCTGTTATCATGCTAATACAATACAGTCCTTTATGTGTGGCTTTGTTCTTTTCTATTCGAAAAAATGAATTGCAGAGGCCTCCTTCAGCAGCCACACACCCACTGGCCCCCGTTTCTGTCAAAACAAGCAGCAAATACACGTTCAGCTCAATGTGGTCTGCTGGAAAATTATTAAGACACAGACAATGGCGAGTTAAAATGGTCGAGGTCAGTTATGGGATGGTTTGTGGGTGAATTTGAGTTTGCTGTTATGTGCATGTTTTCAGCATATAATGGGGGAGCACCCGGAGTAGCCCCTAGCTTGGCCTGTGCAGGGGAGTAAACGTGGGGTGAGACTGGGTGAGCCGGAGGGAGATTCAGACACAATGCCCCCATTGAGAGGGTTCAGACATGGGTGTTAACTCGCCATTCCTTCACAGACAATAGGGCCCCCCACTAGAGCCGGCATAGGGGACAATGTTGGTTCAGGGCAGCCCTCCACCCAGCGAGAAAGAAAAGAGCTGCATTATCAAGATGGGAGGAGGAGAGAAACGGACAGGAGATAGAGGGATATGTTTGTGTATGGGTGGCTGGGTTGTGGGGCTGTGACCCATGGCTTTGGACTTGAGGAACAAAACAGAGAGACATCGACAAACACATCGCAGCAGCGTGAGACATGCTACCGCCTTAAATATTTACAAAATTTGACATAATGTTCGTCAGAGATGTCTCCAACCTTCAGCAAGTTCTTCACCATCAGCCAGTTCAGTACAACAGATGGTTAATCTAGATCTTATGTCTCGTCCGCTTTCTCCTGGCTCGGTTTTACATGTTGTTCTTAATGGCTAATTCAACATTTGGCCACTAGTCAACAGTTGAAAATGAGCCAATTTTTTGCTGCTACTGGTGTATTTACACTGATGTATTGAATAAATACATAAAACAAAAATACAGATGGTTAATTAAATATCCTTGAACCACATGAAGCAGCATTAAGGCTTTAATTACAATTAAAGGCGATGTTAGAGCCATTCAGAGACGGTAAAGAAATATTTGTAAATTATTTATATTTTACTTTAGTTTCACTGTAGAGTACTTAATAAGGGCCGATAATTCAGCTCCTGTCTCTGATTGGTTAATATGTAGAACGAGTTGTCTTTGCTTAGTAATTCAGTTGAATTTAGATGAAGCTGTGGAGAACATACTGGTCTTTGAATTATTGTTCGTTTTTCAGTAAACTGACTAACGAGTTTTATTGTAGCACACGTCAAACATATGCTTGCACCCTATATCTTAAGTGTGTTCCTTTTCAGGAAATAGATAGAGCCACACTAACATATAGAAACTATTGAATGGTTGCAAGTTGTTCTCAAATGAAACCGAGCTTGGCTTCACTATCCACATCACTGATGCACATTGAGTCACGCAAACTGTTACCAGTTACTGAGATAGTGCATTTCTATTTTTCAAAATAACACACCTTACTTGGTACAAATAAAAATGCCTGTTTCAGATATCATATAACCGCCGTGTCCCTGGGTTGTTTCCAGCTGGTGAACTTTTTATAACTATACCCCTCTCTTTTTTCCCCCAGCTTCCTGTCTGTCTCTCACAGAGTCACAACCATTAAAGGCAACGTACCAACAAGAAAAAAAAAAGGCTTGACATGTAGCGATGAAAGGGGCGACATATTAGCAACACTCTGTAAAAGCAGCAGAATTTTCTTACTATAGTTGCTTTATAATCATGTTCAACTTTTCCTTTTGAAGATGAAGTATTGGAAATGAACCACCAAAATGCACCACTGCTCGTGCACATTTCAAAGGTTTCATTGAAATACACGCACAGAGCCAGGTTGGGAATCTGATATATACAGTTTCTGCAGACTTTAATGGCCTCATGTTTGCAGCAGAAAGCAGGATTCTCATCCTCCAGTGAATTCAGCATTTTTAAAACATCTTTAGCGTTCCTCCAAAGACCATATAACAAGCTTTTACTTGTTCACAGTTGCTTGTTATATACACTGCGGTTGTAAAGGAACACTGTTTTGGGAGTCAGTTTGCGAGTGAAGCTGACAGCGCTAACAAGCTATTGGTAATGTAAGTGTATAAGCTTTTATTCTACCTTCCATTTCCAGACAAGTAAAACAAAAGGAGTTTCTGCTTAAAATGTATAAAGGAAACTATCGGGTTGGCTGTGCTTGAGGCCACAATGTGGTATAGGTGGCCGGGCGTTGGGGTGTGGGGTAGCTGGAAATGTTTATGGAGATCCTGTGTCTCTCTGGGAGCCTAATAGAATCCTGTGGCTGGAGTGAGAGCTCATTGTGGCGGCGTAAAGGATTACACTGGTAAACTGGTAAAACAGGGGAAAGAGCCCAAACACTCTCTACCTCCTATGGAGAGGCAACGAACCATCGAACAATGAGAGGGGAGAGTATATACTGCGAGCTGACTCATTTCATCAACACGGAGAGAAAGTAGCGAGAGGATGAAGATGGCGGTAATAGATTAGGGAGTTCATATACATGGATGTGCACAAGCAAAAAAAAAAAAAAAATCTATATATCGCCTGGAAACAGAGTGAAAGATAGAAAAAGGAAGGGGAGCAGAGGGGGCTGCGTGGAGGACAGTTTCAGTAGTAGAGGGTAATATGGGCAAATGATGTCTGTCTTGCTTGTCTGTCTGCATCCTGAGTGACAGTTTACAATCTCTGAGGCAGCAGGCAGGCCCAGCAGGTTGGCTCTTTGGCGCCATACAATCCCTCATTTCCCAACCAATTTTTTTTCCCTCTCTCTCCGTCTACCTTCCACCTCCGGCTCTCGTCTGTTTAGAGCCATCTCTAATCTCCACCACCACCACCACCTCTTCTTTGACTTTTGTCTACATCTTTTTTTTTCCTCTCACTGTTATTTTAAAAATCATCACTTCACTGTCCTTATGCTTAATGAATGACACATTAGTCCCCCTTTTTTTTTTATACCTCAAAAGAAAAAATTAAACTCTAACAGATATTCAGTTCCCTAATACTTAAGCTGCACAGTAATGATTTCTGACAGGCGCTCCCCTCTTCAGTGAGCCGGCTCCTACACTTTTTTTTTTTTTTTTTTTTTGCCCCTTTAATCGTAACCACAAATGATGAACTGAATCAGTCTCTCTCTGCACCTGGCCTCCCATTCATCAGAAAACTGTTGGCTGGGTTTCCAAAAGTGTCTTAGAGCTACGATCACCATCTTTGATGCTAAACCACTAGATGAAGCCTAAGCTAATATTTCCTAGCTTCAGTTTCTCTACTTACTTTAGCATCTGTCAAGAATGAATCCACTGAGGGTTTATTGGAGTCACTATAAATGTCTGAAGCAAGGAGACCCCCCCCCCCACACACACACACACATACACACACACACTCCCTGGCGTCTGATGAGCATGATGACCCCCGTATATTTCCCACAGTTTTCACAGACAACATGCAAGTAAAGCATTATTCTCCCCTCATCTGCTCTTCAAATGGAAACCACACTGAGCATAATGCATCATCTGCATTCTGCAACCTGCCTCGCTCAAAGACTCCTCTCTCCTCCTTCGCTCTCTTCATCTCTGTTCCTTCAAAGGCGGCCGAGGGTGTATTCAAACAGCAGGATACACACTCAGCTAACAAACCTCATTAAGGGCCCATACACACTTTCTCAATGCTAACACTAGCTGTCACACATCCCCTCTCAATGCACACACTGGTGGCCACACTGACCACGACAAAGCATCTTTACAGAGCTAATTAGAAGGGTCCCCCTCGCTATTTGAAACTCATCTGAATAGGAGGGAACATGATAACAAGGAAGGGAGAAAGAGATAGAGAAGGAGGGACAGGCAGAAGAAAGAAGGGAAAAGGGTGTCGGAGCAAGAGCAAGAGAGAGAGAGAAGAGAGGATGCTTGCTAATATACTCAAGGAGATAGTAGGCGGCGTCTTTCACAGTGTGGAATTAAAGCTGGGAGCTCAAGCAGGCAGGGGGAACTGAATTAGTGTGACACCGCTCTGTGTAGCTCGGACACAGCGATGGAGGGGAGCGGGGAGGGAACTCTGTGCTGCACCGTTTTTTGATTGGTGTGCCAGTATCTAGAGAGAGACAGAGGGAAGGAATGGGTGTGACACCAGCTTCTTGGGGAAGGTGGTGAAAGAGCAGCTGCTGACATGGACGACATCTCAGAAAGCCGCACGAGACACGCGGCTCCTAGGCATGAACACGAACACCAAATATATTAATGTATATTAAATATATTCAACCGACAGGCATGAAACGAATAAACTCAATAAATGTGTGACGCTTTTGCCTTTCTTTGCTTTTCTTTTCCTAATTATTGTTGCAAAACACTCATTTATTCTGGTCCAACAAAAAAAAAAAAAGAAGAAAAAAAAAAAAGGTGATCAGTATTCGCTGCCTAAAACATTATTCTCTTTCAGCTGCTCACGTTTTTAGAGAAAGACAGAGGGTCACACTGAGGGTTCAGCTGCAAAAACATTCCTCTATAGTTGCCATATCTTCCTCCAACCCTCCTCCATTTCATGTTTAAATTTTTCTTTTGTGTGTGTCCCTGAAGCGAGCTGTGTGTGAATTTGTGTGCGTGCATGTGTGTGTGTGTGTGTGTATGTGTGTGTGTGTGTGTGTGTATGTGTGTGTGTGTGCGCGTGCGTGCGTGAGCCTGGACGCAGACAATGCCAAGTTGACAGTTAGGGTCTTGGATCAAGCACAAGGCCAAGTTTGTCTCCACAGTCTGAGTGAATGGACACGTCAACAATTGCAGAAGTAAAATATTTCTCCAAAATGTCTCCAAAATTTGCATCATCATAACATAAAATATACAAAATGATTATACTTCAAAAATATTTATAAACTATTTATTACACTATTTATAAAGCGATATTTTTCAATAAATGTAACAAGAAGAGAGGCAGTATATTAACTAGAAAAAATAGAAATAAATAAATTAAAAAAAGAATAATCCAGGCTTTTTCTTTTCAGTCCTTCACAGAATTTTAAGTTCAAGTTGAAGTTATGACCTAATTGTTGTCCCATCAAGCCCAGTGGCCCCTGATGAGAGTGCAAAGCATTCTGGGAGAATAGCAGGTGTCCACATGTCACAGAGCTTCACAGACAGCTTGTTAATTTGCACAACTTTTACACACACATCTCTCCCTCCATGTGTGTGTGCATGCGTGTATATGTATGTGTGTATATATTAGCGATGGGACTTGACCCTAGCGAGCTGCGGCAGTGTTTCGCGTCTTGCTGGGCGTGGGAAAAAGACGGGACCCCTTTTCACAGCTGCCTCAGCCGAGGCCTGGACTGCTGGGGGCCCCTGTACCCCCTCCACACACACACCCGTTCCCCCTTGTCCGACTCCCCCCACCTCCCCTTCCTCCTCCTTCTATCCCATTCAGGCTCCGGCCTACTGGCTTTCAAAAGCAGGACCCCCTTCCCAGCCCTTCATAAATACATCTCATTATTCAAGCCCTAGTTTGCATAGGGATTCCAAAGAGATCTCCACTCTGCTCGTGAGGCCTGAAGCCCCTCAGCCTTTTGGACCGCACAAGTGCAAATTTCGACTTAGTAATCTCTCTGTGTTAATATTTGTTTTAAAACGATGTGTGCACACTTGCAAAACTATTTCACCAATATTGCAAATGTCTGAACATTTATATTCTGGTGCATCTTCTGCTTAAAATTTTGTCTTTCTTTTCTTCAAGGGATGTGGCAGAAAATCTAGAGAAACTAAAACTAGTGAAAAGAGAGTTTAGCATGACTATTAGCAAGTGCTATTAGTCTGCACTCCATCTGCCACCGGCTATTGTACAGTATCTCTCTCTCTCACACACACACACACACACACACACACACACACACACACACACACACACACACACACACTCTCTACAACCCCTCTACAACACCCCCCACCCCACCCCCATTCGCTGCAATGCATTACTGCAGAGATTTATCTCCTATCAGGCCGTATAATACTGAGGTTATAATTTACATCCACTCTAGAAAACAGCAGCACAGGCCAGTCCTTGCATATGCTAATATAAAGCTTGGGAAAATCTGGGCGACTCAAAGAACTCCATACTAAATTTGAATAACTGAGCTTTCTATTGAGCTTCAAGGTTGTGGAACCATGAAGATTTGACCTTGCTAACAATATGTACTTATTGTTTAATTCCTAATGCTCAGCTATTTAAGGGGGAATTGGAGGGAACATACTGACAGCCTTAAAACTGGGAATGTTTCTGTTTCGTTCTCGCTGAAATAATACAAATAATATCTTGCTATAATAATATCTAGCTCAGGTTTCTATTTCTCAGAAGCCTTAAAATTGAGAATTTTTCATTCAAATGTTAAGGTGAAACCAAAAGCATCTCACCGAACTGATCATCTTACAATAATCTTCCCTTTTTGCAATTTACGCTACCGTATTTTCAGGCTACTCGACCGAATGCTGAATAATGCATGTGCTTTACCTTTATGCAAATCCATACTTGGCGCACAACAATCAGGAGACTTTGGACAAGGGGAGGTGGTTCGTCAAGGCATTAGGGGCAAAAAGGACAGAGCCACCCAAACACTCTTTCCACATGAGCAGGTCCAAACCTTGGGTGAGCCCTACGCCTGCGCTCTCCTAACGGGATAAAGAACCGCAGCAAAGATTACACGGCCACCTCCCCTGCACCTACCACACACTCTACCTGACAAATAGGATCATAGTGTTTAAAGGGATAAAACGCTGAATGTATGAGAATGAAAGAGAGGTGTGTGTGTGTGTGTGTGTGTGTGTGTGTGTGTGTGTGTGTGTGAGTGAGGAGGATGGGGATGATGTACAATGTAAAAAAAATGTTAATACTTCAAAGGAGAAAGGAATGATGGAATTCAACATGGAGGTCTTACTTCACTCGCTCAATTCACAGCGTTTACACTCACTCTGTTGCTGTAGGCTACAGTCTATTGCTCCTACACACTCTATGTATATATTCTGATATATACATGAATGATAGAAAACTGACATTTACACTATGCGCAAATAAAAATGGCAGTAAATGTCCCTCTTAATGCCCCTTTTCGTTTGAATAAGACAGCGGGGATTACTGCAGTGCTGCACACTTTAAAAATCATTCCTGATGCAAAATAAAAAAATCCTCAATATTTCAAAATTCAGGCTTAGTCTATCTTTCTTTTTTTTTCACACCCACACACATACACAACCAACTCCATCCTCACAGCTCCACAAAAATATGGACAACAATCAACCACCAGCATTGCTGCAACATTGCTGGTCATGACACTGTAGAAACAAAACTATCTGCAAGCCTCCAGCATCTTCAAGTTTGACCTGAGCCTCTCTCTTAACTCCATGGACTTACTGCTATGCCCAAAATATATAAGGCAGAATGAACAAACTGCTGGTGCACTTGGCAACACCATGGGTTGTTGCTCATATGAAAGTGAACCACATCTGTGTTCATCATGCATGTGTTCCTGTTTTAAATATTCACCTGCAGGATGGCGGCAGCTCCTCATCCTGTCTGGTGGCAGTTTGTCTTCTTTGCGAGTTGATGCAAACTTTAGGGTCAGCATTGCCTGCATTTTCCTTTAAAGACAAAAAAAGAGAATCAACTGAAGCTCTAATTTTTAATACAACATCACATATTTCAGGAGTAAATAAGCAGCTTGCAAAGCAGTGGAGAGAAAGATAAGCAGGAACCAGGAAATAAATGCATTTGTGTCGACCTTGCAGCTAACAGCACTTGTTTTACTGTCTCCACAAGTGCTGTTTTCTCCCATGCACTTCTCATTATTTTGCTTTGTTTCAAGGTTAAATGTATTTTCTGTTGTGCGAACAGTAAATCATGCTTGATAAAAGTGTTTGTGGAGACCCAAAAAATGTAAAATGTCATGGGAAAGCCACACTAAGTAGTTTTAGAGAAAAACTATACCACAAAGTGATGGTATAGAGCATGCTTCATCTGGGCAGCATCCCAGTTGCTAAGCTACTAAAAAACAAGATTGAACATGAAAAATTTTGTATACAAATAAAAACAGGTTATCAAAAACATCACTGTGATCTGGGGAATTGAACAGACAGATAGAAAGATTACATAATCCCATAATATTTTAATCCCTGATATTCGTTGTATCACTCTAACATGGAGGACATGGAGGTCAAATTGTATATACTGACTCAAACTGTACGCCGGCGCTCCTATGCAAATGCCAACACACGCAGACACACACAGTCACACACCATCCGAGCTCTCTTGTTTAACGGCGCACATCAAATATTGTCAGTCATGGTCTAAATAGAGCATGCTGGGACTTCAGGGATATTCAGTCATCTCCAAGGCTTGCTGATTCTGCTCTAAGAATAGATCAAACTCTGAGCCGATGTCCTATTTTGTTCTGATCTAGCAGGCGAACATGAAAATAATCCACCCAGTGAAACACAAATTTGAACATATCTGCCATGTCTAACTCGGATTCAGCTTCAGTGACGAAAACATGTTTGAAATAGGCTGAAGATGGTCGTGTACAGCCCAAGCCTCTTTGCTCTAAATGACTGGTGCACCATGTTGTTGAGGTGTTATACCCTACAGGTTCTGGTTGGGTAGCAAAGAGGCAAACAGCCCACACTATATGACAGTCAGGTGATGGAGAAACAGTGTCCGTGGTCTTATCAGGCATGTTAGCACACAGTAGCTCAGTCCTGTGCCGTCTCCCCATGCTCCACTAAGGCTTCATTTTGCACCAAGCAATGTACATGTGCATCCAATTATACATCACACTCCTAATGTCAAGTTAATTACAGCCAGGGGACATCACTTAGCCTTCAGCACTCATAAAGGAAACACACTCAGAGTATCAGAGGAGTCAGGGAGTCTGCACGTGCAATGGATGCAGCTCTGCAGGATAAATTCATACTGTGTAATAACTGGCTTCAGTGAACGCTTTACCAACTTCTAGGCCTAAAAAAATCGCCATAACCTACATGTGAGATCTTAGAAAGCGATCTGGTGGTGCTGCTGCTGCCAACACCGTCACGTGATTCCTGGACCGACCAATCGCGTGAATCCTTTAACTATTTCTGGCTCACCCCTCAAGATATTGCTGTTATAACACCCACACAGTTATGGCAACTATACAGCAGCATGCGCTGTGGATTTTTGTATGTTTTCCCACATGCATAACTCCCCTACGTCCTAAAGTTGAACCAAAAGCCGATTTATTGATCCTCAATAGGGCCGAGCATCACCGCGATGCCCAAACCACGAGCCCTTAAAAAAAGCAGCAACATTCACGCCCTAACAGACACGCAGGTGGCTCCTGTGAACGTGCCAACACCTATTCAGGAGAGGAGAACAGCCAGCACTGAAATCATGCTGGTGCTGTGTTCATGCTCAGCGGATCCCCCCACCCCCCACGCCCCCTCCACCACCACCACTTCTCATCGGCGGCGGCAGCGGGGCTCAGCATCCGTCCCTCCTGCGTCCTCCTGCTGCTGCCCGGCA